GGAAAAGTGTACGATCTAGTACGTTCTCATGTACTGCCATGACCTTGAAAGTGAGATCCAATGTCAAATTCAAGGTCAATATTGAAATCCTCGTTAGTAAAGGTCTGGCCACGATTTTTTCATCAACAAAATTGCTAAACTTGTAGGAATGTTCTCCAACCTCACACATTTGGCATTCATTTGACTTTTAGAAGTGAATTAGATCTCAAAATTTTAATATATACTTGGACGTAAAGTTTTCTGTCCTTTAGGCTGTCGGTGACAAAAGGGGCCCTTGCATTTGAAAAACAAAAGTTTATGTTTAGCCGATTTCAATAATTTTTGGCTTATTTGTTCAGGATCCCTTACTAGTGAAATGATTAAATTTTCAGCTTGATTCGTCAACTCAGTGCAGAAGCTGGTTCAATAATGTTTTGAGGGTCCACGCAGTCACCACAGAAACTTAACAGAAAAACCTGACCATTTTATCACGTGTTGTTCATGGCAAGATAAATCGATATGTAAAACATTCATAAATTCTAATAAACATACGTAGGTTGTTTACCTTTTTTGTCACTCAGTATCTCAGATATCTGAAGGTGAGGCTAAAGGTCAGATGTTAGAGTACATTGAAGTTTTTGCTCAAAGTTAGTAAAGGTCCTGACCTTGATCTTTTTCGGAAAATACAGTGCCATTCCGGGACTGTTGTTACTCCCACCATGCACTGAGCCAGTGTTGTCAAGTACGAGGATGGTCCCAGAAGTACCCGACCCAACGATGAAAACACAAAAATTTTGTAAAAAAATGTATTTACTTTTCAACTTAATCTCCTTTGAGCTCTATACACTTTTCCCAGCGATGTTCAAAAAGTTCGATACCCTTTTAAATATAATAACTGTCTTGCTCCTCAAAATAGCCATTAACTGCCGACATCACTTCTTCATCGTCGGAAAATCTTTGACCACAGCCATTTTTTCAAGTTTGGGAACAGAAAATAATCCGAGGGGGCTAAATCTGGTGAATAGGGTGCATGAGGTAGCAACTCAAACTTTAATTCGTTAATTTTGGCCATTGCAATAACGGATTTCTGAGCTGGTGCATTGTCTTGATGAAACAACACTTTCTTCTTAAACAAATGCGGCCGTTTTTGCTTGATTTCATCGCTCAAACGTTGCAATAACTTTGCATAATACTCGCCGTTGATAGTTTTACCTTTTTCAAGATAGTCAATGAAAATTATCCCATGCGCATCCCAAAAAACAACCGACGCAATAACCTTGCCTGCAGATGAAACGGTCTTCGCCTTCTTTGGAGCCGGTTGTCCCTTTTGAGTCCATTGTTTTGATTGTTCTTTTGTCTCGGGTGTGAAGTGATGAACCCATTCATCCATGGATATGAAACGACGCAAAAATTCTGCTTTGTTGCTGTGAAACTTCGCTAAACACTCAATTGAAACATCTTCACGATACTGTTTTTGCTCGATTGTGAGCAATCGCAGCGCCCATCTGGCACACAGCTTTCTCATATCCAAATTTTCAGACAATATGCTAGCTCGCGCACCTTCAGTCGACGATCATTCAGTACCGCTTTGTGAATTTTCTTCACCATTTCTGGAGCCGTCACCTCATTTGGTCGACCACTGCGATGCTCGTCTTGGCAGTTGATCCGACCTCGTTTAAACCCTGCTACCAAATATTTTACTATTGTAAACGAAGGTCTCATCCAGAGTAGAATCCACTTCAGCTTTTATATTGGGTGGGCTGAGGCCTTTGAAATAAAAGTATTGTACCACATAACGATGACCAATTTTCTCCATTTTCACAAATTCAATGAAAACGATCAGTATTGATGGCTGCCAAACAAATACTAAATATGCTTTATAGGTTGCATATTTTCTAATACAACTATCGCCATCTCTAGGTCAGGCCGGGTACTTCTGGCACCACCCTCGTACATTTTCTAAATTAACTCAAAACCATAATGTATCTCCGATACTTACGTTGATACAGATCGGGCAACAAATGTATACGAGCAGGATTACATTACAAGCTTATCAGTTCTATGCACTTTAGGTGCCTTTATCAATTTTTAGTAGTAACAAAAAACATAAATACATCGTTTCTTGTAATAATTACTAAATCCAAACATAAACCGACTAATTTACATGTCCTAAATATAGGTTGCTCCACGATAGCACTTAAATGTCTTTCCGATTGCAAATAAGGGCAACCAAATCGTGTCGTCCCGGAAGTGGCATTATCCCGAGTTGTAATCCGACAGCTAGAATCTAATAGATTTAAGGGAAACAGTAAGGGTGGAGGGAGGGTGAGAGTCGTCCGATTGTTTTTGCCCTTGTTAAAGGATTTGCGCGCTGATCCTCAGATATAAACGAGCGATTGTGAGAGAGTGTGTGGGAAACAACACGCGATGGATAGGCTCACGCCAATAAAATTGAGTCAAGTGATGTGCATCACTTTTATCGTCTCTGAACTATGCACGTACACTCACATAACAGTCCTACATTATTTGAAACACAGGTTTCAAAGGACGCTCACCTTAGGTAGCATAAATAATATTAACATAATCTTAAAAAAATTTAGAGAATGTGGTGCGGACAATGATAGTAAATACATACAAAACAATGTTGTAGTTTTCTATAAGAGGCGAACTGTACCTGCACTGGCGCTCAAGCTTAACAGTGCTACCATAAAGAAGGTAGGAAGCCACAAATGTCTGGGTCTTTACATGGACGAAACACTTTCTTGGGAAACACACATAGAGGATGTGGCTGTTAGCTTAACTCTACTCTCTTACTTTAACCTTTTTTATCTTTGTTGAAATCAGTTTCTGAGTGCTGGGTAGTACAAATATTTTTAGCTATTGCCCTTCCATGAATAATAGTGTTAAGTATAACAAAATGCCGCGTAATTGGTCGCCGTGTTACTAGTACTGCAATGACGGTAATGCGTATGTATCTTGTGTGGATAGAAGAAGGTAGAGGAACACGAAGAAGGCCAACTGGTCAACCGAGGCGTACTACAGAGTGTCGATAGGCGCTTCAGACAACTAGCCCTACGAGACCGTTTTGCTACTACGCCTCAGATCGCTGACCAATGGTTTGGAGAAGAAGGTAGACATGTTACTCTATCGCCGCATTCGAGCCTTTGGACTTTTTTCATACCGTCCACGGTTAGTGCTTCCTCTGACTGCGGACCACTCTCGTCAACGTTTGAACTCGAGCAGAGAACGGCAACATTGGATGGCAGAATGCCATAATGCCATCTCCAACGACGAATCGCGATTCTGTCTGTTGGAGTAATGGTTTGGGCGGCCATCGCCTGTGGTAGCCGATCACAACTTCTCTTTGTTCAAGGCAATATGACTGCTGCGCGTTATGTTGATGATGTCCTTCAAATCACTTTACTGCGATATCTAGAGGGCCGTTCACACGTCCTTTTTTAGCAAGACATTGCACGTCTCCATTTTGCTCGTCATACTATGGACTTTCTTCAAGAAGCAGGCATTAATGTTTTGCCGTACACCGGATTTAAATCCCATCGAACATTTGTGGGATATGATGGAGAGGAGACCATATACTTTGCACTATCAACCCCTATGGAGCGGGGCCGTGGCAAATGCTTGTTCCGGAAGTTGTTGTATCCAGTATACAACTTCTTCCCGTTCAAGTATTTGTACACGCGTTAAGGAATACCTCAGTACCGACTGCCGGGTGGCGGTACAAGTCCGCCAACGGACCACTTTAGGTCTACTTAATATCACTAACACGTAACGAGAAGGTGGTAAACAAGGACCAGTCGACCGAGGCGATACTACCCGCTAGCTAGGGTGTCTTATAAATGTCCGCATGTTTCCACACCTAAGCTATGCAGTCGGTTATCCTCCAAAACAAAGAAATTAATGACGATGGATCCCTCGGGCACTAAGAACTCCGGACGTAAACTCACTTCACTCTCGGAATGTCCGGGTGGAGGATGAGCTCGAGGGAACAACATCAGAGATAAAATTTGTTTTTCGAACATCTGCGGGATTAACAGCAACATTCATGCTGTTCATCACTACCTGTAATCCAATCGTCCTGCCGTGCTTTTCTTGGCGGAGACAAAAATCTCAGAGTCTGCACCGATTAACCATCTTAACTCCCCAAACTACGAGGTGCACTCCAATCTGAGAAAGAACGGAGGAGTTGTGGCTTTTGTCCGCAGCAGTCTTCCCTGCTCCAGAGATGCTTCTTTGGAATCAAGGCGGAGGTGCTAGCCAAGATGTTTGCTGCCAACTCCACCATGGACGTCCCCCCAACACCCAAGCGCCGTCAATTCAAAGGGTTCCCTACACTATGCGGGAGGTAACATTCAGGCATAAGACCGTAAGACGAGTGCTCTTGTCTCTCTACATCAACAAAGTTTCTGGTCCGGACTTGATTCCTGCCATTGTACTGAAGAGCTGTGCAGCAGAGTTTGTTCCAGTTCTTTTGCGTCTCTTCCAGATATTTTATGAATCCGGCACCTTCCCAGAAAACTGGAAATTTGCTCATGTCCAACCCATCCCAAAAAAAAGATCTAAGACCGACCCTTACAACTACAGGCCTATAGCTCTGCCTTCTGTTATAGGTAAGGTGATGGAGAGGTGCATAAATCGCGAGCTTCTGGACTACCTCGAAATATTTATATAGCTTCTCGGGAGCGCTATCCAAATGAAACTCAGGCAGAACGTGTAGCCACGAGTCGACTCCACCTTTAAAACGACTCGATTCATCCCTTTATTTGAAACCATCAACAAAGGCGTAGGAAGTATAGAGTTAACCTACTTGAACCCATTTTTATGACAATAACACAACCTCCACAGTCATATTCCACATTCGCGACTGTTAGCCTATCCAGGAATGAGGAAGCTAACGAAACCGCCAGAGTAAACGCTACTAATGCCTTTCTTAACGTCATAACCAACTACCGACATTTCATCAATTTCCTACAAACCTTCCTCATTCTAAACATTTTTCTCAGAAAGAAAAATCTACACACATAAAGAAAGTATCACGTGCGGAGAATGTGTTGGAAGAAAAGGAATTCCCGATCGGATTATCGGGGTTAAGGGGATTCGATTTTAATGAATAACTGCCTAGAAAGGAATTGTCTCCGTTAAGCGCCGTGAAAAATTGCATTGGGAAAAGTATAAATGTAATGGGGACTCACTATCATACCCTCCTTCTTTTTTGTCAAGATACGAGACAGAAAAAAGTGGTGAGTAACACCAGTTAATACGTCTGAAAGTCACAATACCTTCCACAAATAATATTACATCAGGGCATTTCCAAAAAAAATGTGATTGTCATTGTAGTGTTGCACTCTACGGATTCACGGAATTATTTTATTTTAATTTTAAAACCCGTAAATACAAAGGGTGCTATAAAAGTTTTGCTGTAAGGAGGATGCTCAATAAGTTTCAGTCCAGTAGTGGTCAGATACTCGGTGCAGGTACCAAGTGTCCATTCTTGACTTTGGCCGCAAGTTTTTTATAGACTCTATGACTTTAGGCAGGCACTGTTCCGTGTACTAGCTGTAACTATCTCCTGTGTGTCCAAAACGACACGCTCCATAATCCCGCTCGATTTGAAAAATATACCTATCATTTTTTTCTTAACAGATCGGGATTTTCTGATAGCTATGGGTGTGTCCTCATCATTAAAGATCCAAACTTTGTTTTGGGCCGTGGTCGGAACATCGTAATGATAGAGCCAAGTGTCGTCACCTGTCATGCTATTCACATACCGAGATTGGGCCGTATCACATTTTCAGCATATTTCGGTACCAAGTCGGACGACGAGTCTTCTGCTCTTCCGTCAGACTATGCGATACCCAGAGAGAACATAGTTTCTTTACTTGTGAATGATCTTGAAGAATTGAATGAATTGCTGGTGCATGAAGGTGTAAGAGGTATCCTCTATCTGTTGGTATGTCACTCACAGCAATAATGATCTCCTCTGTTACTGACGTTCACGGCCTTCCTTCCCTCTCAGCGTCCTGTGTGAAATTGGCCCATTGGAATTCTCTGCACCACCTGACTATAGTCGTACGATGAGGACAATCCAGTGGCGGCTCGTGAGGTAGTGCCACGGTGCCATGGCACTACCTTGTCTTCTTCAAAAAGAATATTTTTTTCAATCTTCAATGTTTTACTTTATTTTCTGCTTTTTCATTTTTTTTTTTTTGGTATAAATTATATGAAGTGACAACACTGACAACGTGACAACACCGCAAGCACCCGAACCACGCGATACGGAAAGCACGCCTTGACCTTGACGTCATCAACTTGTGCCAATTTTGGGCCGGCCCAAATAAAAAGAGAGAAATTTTACTAGCATCGCATACGAGCGACAGAGATAACGCTACCCTACACATTTTTATATGAGGTGAATAGTGAAAGACAAGTATAATTTGTGCCAGGCACATCATCAGTCGTAATTCGTTATCAAGTGATATCGGCGGTGTTTTTGTTCGGTCGGTCGTTTCGTTATGATTACGTCTAGTGCTGATTTCGGTCTTTTTTTACCTGAAAAGTGAAAAATACCTTTTTTGTTTTAGTACGTCTAGTGTTAATGAACTGCTCTGTTTTGTGATCATATTTTTTACTGTTTTATTAAAACTAGTGAAAATGAATAAAATCGGGATATTAAAAAACTCATTTAGTGGTTTTTCGCTGGATCAAAAACTGCAAATTAAAGAATTAGGACGGCCAATACCCGATTTAAAAATTGAGAAACAAAGTGGTAGCGGACAAAAATCGCGCTGTCGCAAATTTAATAAAAATGTGTACGATAAAAACAGCTGGATATGTGGTTGTGAAGAAACGAATAAACTATTTTGTTTTGTATGTGTTCTATTTGGAGGTGACGAGACTTGGTCAAAAAAAGGTACAGACGATCTTATACATATATGGGATAAAATGAAGACCCACGAAAAATCTAAAGTCCATATGAATAATGTTTTTAGCTTTTCTATTCTTGGTAAATTAAATATAAGGACTCAACTCAATTCGGCTTATCGCAATGATCTAATTAAACATAATAATCAAGTGGATAAGAATCGATATGTATTGAATAAAATTATTAATTGTATAAGGTTTTGTGGAGCATTTGAGTTAGCCTTAAGGGGTCACGATGAAAAGGAAAATTCGGAAAACAGAGGCATATTTAAGGAGCTGGTGAATTTTAGCGCCGAATTAGACAACGAATTGAAAGTCCATATTCAAAGTGCCAAACTTTTCAAGGGTACCTCGAAAACAACTCAAAACGAGCTTCTTGAGTGCATGCTAGATGTTTATCATGAAGAAGTTAAGAAGGAGATTGCAAATTCTCCTTTTGTTGCAGTAATTGCCGATGAAACGACTGACGTAGCCTGTGAATTTCAGTTAGTTATTATTTTCAGATATTTGTGTAAAGGACAACCAGTTGAGAGATTTTGGAGATTTTACGTCCCCGACGGACACGATGCCAAATCAATCGCTGCATGCGTTTTAAATGTTGTAAATCCATTACTAGATCAAAATCCAAACAAATTAATAGCTCAAAGCTATGATGGTGCGTCTGTTATGAGTGGTGAATTGAATGGCGTTCAAAAAATTATTAAGGAAACTTATCCACTTGCAAATTATGTTCATTGCTATGCACACCAGTTAAATCTAATTATGACAAGTAGGCTAGAATATTTTTCCATAATTTATCTGGATTGTGCTCTTTTTTTTCGACGTCTCCTCAAAGAACAAAAATTTTGGATGAAATAGTTAATTGCAGATTGCCAAGATCTTCCCAAACACGTTGGAATTTTCAGTCACGAGGTGTTCATACAGTTTATGAAAATAGGAAAGACCTGATTGAAGTTATGGACAATATAGAAAGTACTTCACGCGATTCTTCGTCGATTAATCAAGCCAGTGGGTACAAATTAAAGCTGCAAGATACAAATTTTGTATTTTGGCTAAGTATATTCCATAAAATAATGCCACATGTTGAAATTGTCTTTAACCAATTACAAAAAGTATGCACCGATTCTGTTAAGGTCAAAAATGATTTAGAGAATTTTGAAGCAGCAATTCAAACTATACGAGAACAAATGGATAGCTTTATTGACGAGATTGAACGAGTGCACAGAGAAACTGATGAACCGCCAAGAAAAAAAAGGCAAGTTGAAGAAGGCAGCAAAAAACGGGAAGCGTTATAAATATGCGATGCAGTATTATCGCAAATAAAAACAAGATTTAACTTTTCTGGACATTTAGTTGCTTCTAATTTATTTGTGTCTGAAAAGTTTTCTGTTTATAAACATCAGTTTCCTGAAGCACATTTAAATGACACATGCACACAATTTTCATTTTTAGACAAAAACAGGCTTAAAACTGAGTTACAAGTATTATATCAGAGAGAAGAATTGAGTACTACTTCTGGAGCTGTTCCACTATCCATTTTATTGAACGAGGAAGGATTAAATTGTACGTTTCAAGAAACTCTTAAGCTCTTAAGTATTTTAATCACTATACCGATGTCAACATCTGAAGCAGAACGCTCTTTTTCAATGCTGAAACGGATTAAAACTTTCCTCAGAAACACAATGAAGGAAGAAAGGCTTAGTGCTTTACGAATGCTGTCTGCAGAAAAACATTTTGTTAGTGGCATTGAAAATTTTAATAATAAGGTAATCGAAAACTTTTCTACCAAAAAAGAAAGAAGAATGGACTTCATGTATAGAAAACTTTGAAGTTATAGGTACTTCTCCACACTTTTTTTATAATTTGGTGCGCGTATGTAAATAGTTTTATTTTTGATTTTTTTTTTTGGACATATAGATTTATTGAACCTCAAGAACTTTGACCACTAACTATCAGGGGTAAGTTATAAGTTATTCTTTACAATTTTGAATCGATTCAAAATTATGGCTTCCATTCTGGCACTACCTCACTGAATTGGCACGAGCCGCCACTGGGACAATCATTCGTTAATGCACGCGTCGTTTCTTCTAAGCACTGGTCTATACTTAAACCACGCGTAAAGCTATATCGTAAAACTGCCCAAGATGCCATAGTTCACACCTTACACCGTCAATACGAATGAACAACTAAATCAACAGACGTGCTGCTGGCGGCTACTATGCACCCATGGACATGTCTCAACATGCAGTAACATGCAGCATCCTGGGTCCGTTTGTTAAGTCATATTGCAAAACTTATATAGTACATTTTATACAAGATAAGCACTCACCAACTTTGCGGTACGTTATGGTTCTCTCTTCTATTTTGGCACCCGACCATAGCAAGATCCAATAGTTGGATACCAAAATGGGAGAGAGTGGTGTAACGCATCGAACGCCACTGATCTGACCCTGCGAACAGTAAGATCCGGGTACGCCTAAAAAGAGATATACCGCATTAGCAAAATGGTATCAGATATATGTTGTGCTACTCTCTTCCATTTTGGTAACCCAGTACAGTAGGATTCTATAGTCAAATATCAAAATGCAAGACAGTAACGTGACCAGTCATACACCACTGATCTGATGCTGTCGCTGCGTATAGCAAAATCTGGGCATACGTACATAAAAATATACCGCGTTAGCAGTGGTGTACGCTGAGTAATGGTAATATTTTTATATCGTCGCTCCAGAATGATAGTAAGACAACTTCAAATATACCATATTGAGATAATCGCTTTTTTAATATTCATTAGGTTGTATTTTTTATTATTATTTATACAAGAAGTAGTGCGTGTTATAAACTATTAGATAACTATGAGTGTGTTACAATACCATTAATTTTAAGCTATCCGTTATTTTTTCTATAGAATAGTTTAAGTTGTTGTTGTTTTTATTGCAAGTTGTCTCACTATTTTATTTAATATTCTATAAAATAATTTCATGATGTTACTATTCTACAATAGTAAATATTACAAAATTTACCTGTTTGTTCTATAAAAATTTCAATAAAACAACGAACTCGTAAAGATAAACTTTATTAACAATAAAACTTTATTAACTTCCATAAACTCGTTTAAACGTAATTAGGGGTAGTTTTAATTATGCAAAATAAACACCAAAAAAGGAACAAAAACTAAATTTGAATTATGTTATTTGTCATTGACTACTTCTTGTCCTTTCTTATAGGCTTTAATATTTCTGTAAAAATGTCGATGCTCTTTTGGTATATGTAGTAATAAAGTAACTTTCTTTTTTCTTGAACGATATTTTTTGTGTTTCTTTATAGGCTTTCTGCAACTCTGGATAAGCATTTATTTTTATTTTTACTTTTATTTCTTTAAATGCCTGTTCTTTATAATTATTTTTATAGTATATTATATCAGGTTCTTCTCTTGTCAAACGAATAACTTTAATTTATCCCCAAGTAACTGTTTCACCATTTGTATTAAGATTAAATTGGCTATAGTAGAAAGTCAACATTTTAAAGTCAATAACGTCATTATATTGAAAATCATTTGAATTTCATCACACAACGTGTAAACAATGCATAATACATAACCTCCAATATTTTCTTTTCTTTAACCTAAAACTTCGTAATAAAAATTCAGTATACCCTATTTCACGAGTATCCATCACGCTTTGACGTCTACTGACGTGAAAAGCTGATCATAAAGTGACATTTTTGTGTTAGTCTGGGACGTTGGCAGTAATGTATCGGATATAGGATCTAGTAAAACTTGTTGTTTTCTAAATAAAATAGCTGTCAGCAAGTACAAAATGAATCTGTAGCATACAAAAACACAACTAAATACGGCACTGATTACCTGGCGTTGACGGATTCGACAGAATTATGTGTCCTGTGCTGATATGGGGAACTTTGAGATATTACTAAATAATTACCTGTCATTCTACCTTGATGGATACTCGTGAAATAGGGTATACTATACTGGGAGTAGAAAGTCAACATTTTAAAGTCAATAACGTCATTATATTGAAAATCATTTGAATTTCATCACACAACGTGTAAACAATGCATAATACATAACCTCCAATATTTTCTTTTCTTTAACCTAAAACTTCGTAATAAAAATTCAGTATACCCTATTTCACGAGTATCCATCACGCTTTGACGTCTACTGACGTGAAAAGCTGATCATAAAGTGACATTTTTGTGTTAGTCTGGGACGTTGGCAGTAATGTATCGGATATAGGATCTAGTAAAACTTGTTGTTTTCTAAATAAAATAGCTGTCAGCAAGTACAAAATGAATCTGTAGCATACAACTAAATACGGCACTGATTACCTGGCGTTGACGGATTCGACAGAATTATGTGTCCTGTGCCGATATGGGGAACTTTGAGATATTACTAAATAATCACCTGTCATTCTACCTTGATGGATACTCGTGAAATAGGGTATACTATACTGGGATAACCTGAAAAGTGACAACAATGTATTTTATTTCTTTTCAGGGGAATACAAGGATATTTTAAAATGCCTTAGTATAGTTCCACAACCTAACAATTATTTTTTATACTGAATAAAGACCCAAAAATCAAGACAACTTGAAATATTTTCATTTACATTTTTGTTCAATATAAAGACATTTTAAAATATCTTAGTTTAGATCCATGAATCTCACAATTGTTATAAATGGATAGATTGCATAGAACAGTAAGGAAGTGGAATTAAACAGAACCAAGTATATGACTAGATAGAGCGTTAAAAATTGCAGCGGATTTATTAGAAATCCGAAAATAGAAACTTTTAAGTTGTGTTACTATTATTCTGGAGCGACGATATCTTGTTGCCCCACTCTAGTATGTTATAAGGTATATTGGACAAAGACTTTAAATCTTCAAAACTACGTCACTGGCTAGAAGTAGTAGTGGTGGTAAGGCGAAGCCTGGAAAGTAGGTCAACTTTGACCCTCTTTGCCAACGCTTCGTTGTAACACTGCTAAAATCACGTAACCTTCCTTTTTACTGTTTAGACCACTTATGAGCAATTTGAAATTCTTTTTATTAATAGTATAATTAGTAGTATAAATAGTATAATTTCTCACGTATTATATCTATCATTCTCAGCGACTCAGTATTGTATTGAAATATTTTGGACATTAATGTTATAGGTTTATTAACGACTATCTGAGAAATTTCCTCATAAATATTGTTGGTCCCTCGTAGACAGATTTGTGTCTGCCTACAATCTGCCCAACTGCAACCAGCGCGCCATCTTGTGATTTTTACACGTACTAGCCGTATATTAATGTTTACCTTACTAGCAAGATACCTTCTTTACCGGTTTTTATGTTCCTTTTGATGTTCCGTCGAACTTCAGCGCCACTTATTCAACCTTCCTTTAGGGGGTTGCGTGTGCAGACGGTCCAGCGCCATTTTACTTTCTGAAGTAGGTTTGGTTGTGTGCGGGCGTTTTTTTTTTTCGTTAACTTCCAGATTTTGAGATATTAACGACCCAAGCACCAATTTATGGAGTAGTGCCCTTTTATCTTGTACCTTACGTTTAGTTGTTTTGGTTAGGGTACTACCCCGTCCATCTTGTAACGGGATTTTAACCTCCAGCGGTAATTTCCCTTTTGTATACCATCGGACTACGTCCTTTAATGCTTGTCCTGAAGAAGTTTGTTCAATATATGATTCCTTTTAGTGGAAAGTCATTGTGGAGAACCACCATTCACACTCCTCTAGCTTTGTTTTGTAGCTGCCTTGTAGCTGTTTCGCAGCCGATTTTGATGGGAGCTATCTTTTCCCCTTTATAAAAACCCTGAGTGAGCAGTTAGGATATCATTTTAATTTAGTATTTTATAGATATTGATATATTGCTTGTTGCTAACAGAAATGCTTAGTATGTTTTTGGTTTTGTTTGGCATTTTACTGATTCAAATATAGGGTAGTGCCTACAAGCCACTGTCTTTTGCCCTTATTACATTACATTAATCATGATTTTGAACTGCCTTAACTTATTTTAGAACAAGGGATAACTTTCTGAGGGTATATTAAGGATATTAAGAACTCTCAATCTCAACTCAGAACTGATGTTGCTTATTGTAGAAACTTGCTACAGCAACATTCGGACTCGATCTCTCGGCATGATGACTTAATAGCGGCCTGCGAAACCAACATACAAAATATCCAGGTTACTCAAACAGAGCTGTCTTCTAACATTGCTAATATTGAATCGAGACTTGCAAGATCTATGGAGACGATGCACTCAGGCAACGGCGCTTCTTCTAC